TTATTAGGAGTGGAATTGCTATTTTCAACAGCCATTGCCATTTTTTTTTATTTTTTTTTTTTGTTTAAAAGGAAGACAGTGACATTGCATTGGCAAATTCCCCATAGAAAGAAAGAGTGGAACAAAAGAATAATAAAGGCACCTCAACTTTTCCTCATTTATGGAGGACAGTCTTATAATATGCATCCAGATATCCTTCAATCACACAAGCTGAAAATTGTTCCACTTTACTGCAGTTCTGGAACCATATGGGAACCAATCCTGTCTGTGTTCTGTGCACATCCAAAATTCCTGCTGAATGACCCGCCCTGGGAGTGAGTTACCAGTGATCCAGGGCTGGGGCGGCAGGGGGGTGCGGGTGGGGGTGGGGGCCAGAGCTGGGACAGCAGGGGGTGCGGGTAGGGGGGAAGAGCCCAGGGCTGGGGCAGCAGGAGAGAGCAGGGGAGAGCCCAGGGCTGGGGTGGGGGACAGCCAAAAATTTTTTTGCTTGGGGCGGCAAAAAACCTGGCCCTGAATGTTCGTACTCACTTTTGTGACTGGGAATTACAGGCATTATGGAATTAATCTTGCTTGCTTCCCAGCCCCTCCCACCCAAGGGGTGTGATGAGGTTTGGCCTTACAATGATCTGAGAACAAAGAGCAAATACCTCCTAAGCACTATTATTATTATTATACTAGGAGGCTTGTGTTAGTTGCTGCTTATCTACCATCCAGTTTAGAATACAGAGAGGAGAGAGCTGCTGGGAAACAGGTGAACTTACAGTCCTGTTACTGAGCAGACCACATGAGCGTATCTAATACAAATGATGATGATTAGACATCTTTGTTAAACATTTCTCTTAAAATGCAGTTGCTTAAAATTGTTGGGAAAGAGTGAAATTGGATGGTCTTCCCCAGAAACGGTCTTCACCAGCATGTTCTTCTGTGGCCATGTAGTAACTCATGTGATTATGTGTCAGAGCTCTGGTGATGTTAGCAAAGCATTGGATCTTTGGTCATGTGGGGCATGGTGTTGCCAGAACCTTTTGATGGAATTTTAGCCTTAATCTAGGTGCAGTTCTATGTACATAAACCAGTATGAAATTTAGTTACGTACAAATTCCTGTTGTATGTGGCCTTTTTTTAACCCACCTGTAGAGCTCAGAGTGTTGTAGAAATGCCATCTTCCTGTTCTCAGCTTGATGTTGTGAGGGCAGAGGTATACAAAATGGCAGAAGTGACTCTCTAGAGACTGGTTTCAGAGTAGTAGCCGTGTTAGTCTGTATCCGCAAAAAGAACGAGGAGTACTTGTGGCACCTTAGAGACTAACCAATTTATTTGGGCATAAGCTTTCGTGGGCTAGAACTGATGAAGTGGGTTCTAGCCCACAAAAGCTTATGCCCAAATAAATTGGTTAGTCTCTAAGGTGCCACAAGTACTCCTCGTTCTTTTTTCTCTAGAGACTGGCAATCCTTTTTATATTTCCCTTTCCACCGTCTGACTACACCTTGCATGCAATGTGTCTACTGTAAACAGGCGTTTGCATAGACTCTCCCTCTGCCCACAGACAGTTCAGCTTCCTGCACACACCCACACTCATCCCACAGTCTGCTGGTTGTAGAGGCCACTCTCCAGCCCTGGCAGTGAAGGAACCTGAGCTCAGGCTGGATCCACGATAAACTGCCTTAATCCTCCTGCATGGGTGCAGTATGCTGAATGGCATTATTGGTATGTTAGCCTCAGTCTTAACCAGCAATTGATAACTGCACTTGTTTAAATAGTAGTTAAACTAAGACTCTGAGTGCAAAATCATGTATTATTAATTTGTGTTACGATGGTGCCTAGGACCCCAGTCATGGCCCAGGATCCCAAGCACCCAGGGGCTGTACAAATACAGAACAACACTGAGTGAATTTGATTCTGTTTGCCTGTTTCGTAAATACCCTGTGAAAGTCAGTGCTGGTGCCACTGGGATGGGAGGAGCTACTACAAATGTCCTAGAAGACACGACATTAGGCTGTCTCCAGATATAGGTGCAAATGTCTGATGTTCTAGTCTCTATTTAAAATATATATTGTGCTGAAACCTCCTTCATGTTGGAAATAAGTTCAAGTCTAAGTCATTCTAACAGCCCTGCACACCAGTCCACACAACCAGAATCAGACCAAAGTATTGCAGCCCTCAGGAGACTGAACTGTTGTGTGCCATAGGTAGAGAACCAGGGCGGCTGGTGGGTGACCAAGATGTGCCAATGCCCAAGGATCCTTTAATGACAGGGAATTGAATGAGTGAGATATTACCCAGATGATCCTAGCTAGTGATCTGCACCCTATGCTGCAAAGAGAGTGAAAACCCCCAGGTTCCTGTCAGTCTGACCTGGGGAAAATTCTTTCCCAACCCCCAATTTGGTGATCAAATGTACATTGCCAAAAAAAATGTAATAAAGAAATAAGCAGGGGGAGGGCGAGGAATCTGTGTGGCATTAATTAGGGTTATCCCCAGAAGTGCAGTAACGAAGAATTTTATTGGCATTGGAAGAGAGGCTTGTTTTAATGTCCATTGGTGGTGATCAAAATCATCAGGCTGTGCTGAATTAATGTGACGGCTGACTGTGTTTTCTGCTCTGAGACTAATGTGTTACGGGTTTCAGCTGCACCTTCTGCAAAGCAGTAAGGCTCTAAAGTTCTGAGGTTTCTTTCTGAACGTGATCCCACCCCCATCCCCATGACTGAGAACAATAAATCCAGCAACAATTAGGTCAAAGGAATTAATGTGTTGGTGAAACAGGACCCTGCAGACAAATCACTGTGAGAACAGCATGTTCTGTGTGATGGGAATGTCCTGAGGTGGAAATCTGCTAAATGATAGCGCCTAAGCAAAACAATTAACCCTCAGGCATAGATCCTTCCACAGGCTATTGTAACATACCAGCTATTACGAGAGGATGTACAGTTCCTAACAACCCCTTGTGTAATGGGTACCTGAGAATGTGTCTCAAACTGTGCCAATCCCATTGCTGTTGCAGTCAGTGCGTATTAGGACTGACTCCTCCATTGTCCCAGGCTTGCAGGAGTTTCTTAAGGCTATGTTGGCACCTGAATGGGCTTCGGATCAGCACTCTGAGAGAGCCAATCGGAGGCACAGCAGGAGCCGATCCTGAGAGCAGCCCCTGCAAAATAAGCACTGCAACAGTCTGGAATCCCAGCTCACAATCTGGGTGACCTGCTGTCTCTAAACTCCAGATACGTGTTGCACCTGCTTGCCATGTCATCTCCCCTTAATCTCTGTTCCTATCCACCACTGCGGGGGGAGCGGAAGAGCAAAGAGATGACTTGACCCAGGTGGGGCCTGGTTTTGTGCTGGTTTTCATGTATATGTCATGGGACTGTTGAGCAGTAGAAGCTCTCACTTCTTTGGGTTGAGAGAGAGGCAAGAGGGAATCTTGATCATGTCCCTTTTTTAATCCTAGAAATACCAGCTGCTAACACCTGGCTTGCAGAGGGGCCCGTGGCCACTAGGAGCCCTAAGAAGGCTCCTACAGCAGGGTGCTGTGGCAGTAATGTCAGGTGGGAGAAGTGGCTGACCTGGGAGACAAAGTGGGGCCAGATTTCATATGCTGGGCCATGGCTTCCTTTGAGTGTCATCCCTATGTGTCTGTAGAACGACCCTATAACTGCACCCCCCTCCCCTTTAAAAAGCCCCTGTTTTCTGTAGGTGAGTTGTTTGTTGTCTCAGTGTACTTCTGAATTACACCGAAACACATCTGACTGACTAATGCTTCCCTGTTCTCTCCACAGCCTGCCTGGTCACCTTGTGCCTCGACGGATCTGGACCCCTTGCTTCCCTGGCTGTCTGTGACAGCTCCGCACTTCTCTGTGCCAGCTTCAACTCAGGAATTCACTTACTCAGGATAAACAGCGTTAAAGGCCTGGAGCTCCAGGAGGTGGCAACGTTCTGATTCGTAGTGACCCTCTCTGCCCCAGACCATCATGGTCAAAATCCAAAGCAGGAATTGCCTCTCTGGTTAAGAAGTCTCTCGGTCGCTGGTACTCATTTCCTGGCTGACTAGGTTTAATGGCCAGGCACCTGTAATGTCCCTAGCCCCAAATAGGCAACAGTGCAGAGCCAGCAGGGTCATCAGGTTCCAGTTTCTGAGATTATGGAAACTAGCTGCATCCATTTTTAAAGCCAAGTCATAGATGCATTTAGGCCAAATTTTAACTTGAAATAAGCCTTGCGCATTTGACACACAAAATCACAAGCGAACTAGTTATAGGTCTAACAGTTAGATGAGAAAAGAGACACAAGCAGAGACTCTAGTGAAACAGGCTGCCAGCCTACAGGGAAGTGTGTTTCTGGGAACATCCTGCTGACCACAGTGGGGTAGCCTCCATCCTGTCGTGCAAGCATCTGTTCCTTGCTACGCTGCAGGTTGCGTTGCTTTTCTTGTTTCAAAGAACGTATAAAAGAAGGCCTGGATGCTTGTCAGCAGAGGTAAGGAAAAATCATGGATCGTTGTCCCTCTTCCCTTATCAGTGTTACGTCGGCGTCCCCATTTGTTGCCACCAGGGCAGAGTCTGGCTCACCGAGAAGCCTGGGTTATTGATGCTGTGTGCAGTAGCAGACTGAGGAACAAAGGGTCCATTCTGTTATCTCAGGGTAGAAGCTGAGTACTGTGCTGTGAAGCAGCAAACTTGCTACAGATCTGAAAACCACCTTTCAGATGTCAGCATGTGGAATGAATGGCTTGTTTTGGAACATACCAGTGATTGGCTAACTGAATGAACATACTAAGATGTCGGCTAGAGAAGCTCAGCCCAGTTCTCATTGCTCAGGTTCAGTGTGCTGTTTAATGGTGTCGAATGCTGTGCCCCAAAGCGAATGCTTGTTCTACAATCAGGGTTGGTGTACATACACCCTGCTGGAAGGGGGAGAGAATTCATGCTCCTAGCCTGTCACCAAAAGCTTTGGCAGCAGCTGTGAAGGTAGCTATTTCTCCACAATCCAAGGCAGAAGCAAGCTGATAAAAAAGACTAATGGGGTGGAAGAAATAATCACATGTTCTTGGCACATTGCCAGCCTGTTGAGCGGAAGCCATGGCTAAAGAATTCAGGGAGAGGTGGCGCAGGGAGAACCCCAGAAGAGGGGCTAGGGAGAGTTTTAACTTCCAGGTAAAGCTGATTCTGCAGATGGTTTGGCCGGTGTTTTTAACAGGTTTGCCTGGTCTCAGCCTGCCCCTTTTGCCCTGGTGTGGTACCTAGGGCGGTAGCCAGCTTTTCAGTGCAGAAAGTGGTCCAGTGAGTCAGTAACCAGCTCTCAGATGCCTTCCTTTCCATGGGTGTATTTGGCTCTGAGGTTCACAGTGCTATGGGGAGAGTCTGTCCACCACTGGCAGAGGCTTCTTTTCCTGATCCAATAGGCTCGGAGCTCACAATGCCAGCTCCAGTGACTGCTGTGGGGTTACTGCTGACTGAGATGCCCTGAGTGAGAGCAGAAGTAGGCAAGAGACGTTTCCTCTCCTCTGTGTGCCAGAGGTTGAGGAGGATGCTTAGTATAATATAGGGTGCTTCTCCACCAAGAAAGGCTATTGAGAGAGTTCCATGTATGTACAGATCGGGCTCCCCCTGTGGGGTTTGCAGGGGCTAGCCAATCTTTGACTGGCAGCCTGGAAAATGCCGTCTGTGTTGGTTAATATCCTTGATTGGTGCTTGATTACTGGGCACTAGGAGCTACGGCCCAGATCACGTGATGTAGATGCTTTGTGCTATGCTCTCAGAGTGCTTGCCCGTGGAAGGGTCACCCCAGTGCAGTGGGGACGCTGTGGTGGCACAGAGCTCATATAGCAACTGCTATGTCACCCCTTCACTGTGCTGTCCAGTGTCACCCACTGGACCTGACACTCATGCATTTCCCCTTTGCCTTATGCCTGCCTGCAGCCCTGATGGAGTCTCAGGCTTCCAGCAGGGCTGCAGAGACTCAGCAAGACTCTTCCTGCATTTATCGCCCTGGGGCAGCTGTGGTGCCAGACACCAGCACTAAAGCAGGGAATCTCTTCCCTGCTCCCCGGGCTGATACCCGGCCTACCTCCAGCTGGCTGGAGACAGAAGCAGCTCTCTGCCCCACTCACTTTTCAGCAGGGGGTTTGGAGCAGAGGGAAATGTGGCTGGGCTTTGGTGGGATGAGGAGAAGCTGGAGGAATGGAAGATGCAGGGTAATGGGGAGAAGGATGGAGAGCCCCACCCGTAACAGCCCTCCAGGCTGCCTAAGGCTCACTTGTCCTTCTCTGCTGCAGACGAGCCCGTTACCTCTCCTGTAGTCTGCCCTTGGACACCCCCTGCATTGCCACAGCCCCTCCTCCTCCTCCTCTCAGGTTCTTCCCACTGCTCGGAAGGGGGAGATTGGTGATTCTCACTGGTGAGAAATTTCACACATGTAGCTGCATAAAACTTGGCAGCTATGCCATTCCCCGTTCTTGGCATAGGGGTGTCGCCAGGGGGTCCCTGGCCAGGGACAGGCCAAGGGAGAATTGGTTGGTAGGCTAATTGGCACTGCCTTAGGGTTCTCTGAGTTGTGATGGGGGTGTGGCCTGGCAGCTGGCCCTGGGCTGGCGCCATCGTTCCCGCTGCCTCCTGAATGTGGCTGTACACTCCTTGGCCAGAGGTGAGGTTCTGTAGATCTACATTTCCAGAGACGGAGTCTTTGGGAAGGAGGGAACCCTGGGCTATGGGCTTCCGACCCATCTGGCTGCTCTCTGTGCTGCAGATAGAACTAGATTAAACAGGTGGTGCTAATCTGCACTGTAATCCCTGAAATACCTGGAATATTCCCATCTGACTAAATAATTAATGGTATTTTGAGTTGCTGCCTTATTGGTCCCCAAGGACTTGCCTCTTTGGGCTTCCTGGGAGATCCCCTCAGCACATGTGAACTGTGACTGGGGGTTTTTCTCCATCATGGCACCAGGTGAAACCCTCCCAGTTCACAAGCATTAGCTGTGTCCTTGCTGCTGCTGTTCCCTTACGGGTCTTGTCTGACAGAGCTGCCTGCTACGTATGTGACTATGGCTAATAACACTTTCATAGGTCCACATTCGGAACTGATACCCCATGAGCTAAAGGCTAATTGCAGGGTCTGGATGCTGGAGAAGGCTGTTCCCTTCTGTGGCATTAGAAGGGAACACAGAGCAAACTGTGCCTCCCCTGAGCTCTAACCCCTGTTTTGTTCCCCAAAGGATAGTTTGCTCCTCTCTGTCCCCTCCCCAAGGGTTCTGTGACCTTCTGAGCTTCCCAATGTTCTTTGTGCCCTTGGCTCCCCCATCTGTAGTGGTCCCCCAAAGATGTCCCCTTTTCCCCTGCTCCATGTCCCCTGGATTCACTGTGTCCATGTCTTGCCCAGAGATCCAGCTCTCTGGGCGGTGCTGCAATAAGGCACTGGGGCAGGGCGCATGTGTGATCCTTTAGGATCTGCAGGGCATGCTTCCAAGGTGAGCTGTGCTCTGTGAAAACACAGCTGGGAAATGGTGATTGTCAGCCCCTTCTAACTGGGCCAGACCTGATCAGGGTTACATGCAGCCAGCAAAAGACACATCTTGACCTCCAAGACCAAACCTGTGCCTCATCTCAGAGGCTGAGGTGTGAGAGCTGCTCAAAGGAAGGTCACAAGAACTTCTGCCAATGGAGAGTGTAGGGCAACCTAAATACAGGGGATGCTAGCAGCTCCCCTCTACTGAACCTAATGGTGACACCCAGATGTGATCTAACATGGTGGTTGTGCTAGGTTTAGGGGCGATGCCCACTGCAGAGCGTGTCACCTGGGACCCCTCTGCCTAGACTGCTGAGACTGTGTAGTGGGGTAGCACTTGTAGCACTGGCTTGGATTCTGGGCACTTTTTTCGCACGATTATACCTGAGCCAACCAATTTTTTTTAAAATTATCTAAATGCCCACCAGTTAAAATGGCTGCTGGGTTGTCTTGTTGTGTAATGTTGTTTCATGTCTGTCCTCAGTGATCTGTCTTTTCCCCTTTTCTCTTGTAGGGATTTGGATTAATACCAGTGTACAGCTCTTTCTGTAGCAATTTGGCACCTTTTCACTTACAGCACATCAAAGGGTCTTTTAAACCCCATCTCTGATTTATGTCAAACTGTGCCCCTCACTGGGGCCAGACAGTGCACAGGACACATGGCCCATTTCAGGCCGTGTCATGGTTGCTGGGGCTGGAAACTGACCATCCAGGGTTTAAAGTTTTACACTAAGGACTCTACCAGTGTATCTTTAAGCTGACATTGATGCAGCGTGGGAGTAACAGAACCCCTCACTCCCAGCTGGTGACCCCTGGTAACCAAACCCTGTTGTGGGAGCTGCCATGTGAGCCAGGGAGAAGAGTGTTTGTAAGGGATGCACAGTGAGGCAGGAGACTCCAAGTTGCAGCAGTGTAGAAAGGTCACACTTGAGACCTAGCTTTGGAGAGTAACCCGTTTGTCTGCAAGTTAGGCCAAGATATGCAGCAGCAGCTGTCTGCATGTGGTGGAGTTTAGCCAAAGCAGAGATGAGACTGAATAACTATGAAATCATCTTAGATGGCTGCCAAGTCTGACTGTACTGGCGCAGTGGACACACCTGCATTAACGGCAGTGGGATTTGCCTTCTTATGTCAGTTCTAAAGCTGGTCCTGCCAGATACCCCTTGCTCATTAGCAAACCCAAGTCCAGGCTCCATCTGTCTGTAGTGAAGGCGAGGCTGAGTACCTGACACAGAGAGCACTGTCAGCTCAGACGAATACTGCCTTTCCCTCCCTTCCCTGCTCTTTGTGGGCTATGGTCTAGGTTAGACAAGCATTAGGCCAAAAGCTAACAGTCTCCATTTAAAAAGGTAAATTGTAATAACTGTTGCTCTTACTGGCACTTTACATTCTTTACTGTGTAAATAATTTACCCTAAATTTGCACCTTCATTAGCCTTCATTTTCATGGAAGATAGGTCCATTAGCTATTAGCTAGGATTGTCAGGGATGCAACTCTATGCTCTGGGTTTCCTAAACCTCTGCCAGATGCTAGGACTAGATGACAGGGGATGGATCACTTGATAATTGCCCTGTTTTGTTCATTCCCTCTGAAGCACCTGCCATTGGCCACTGTCGGAAGACAGGATACTGGGCGGGATGGATCATTGGTCTGACCCAGTAGGGCTGTTCTTGTGTTTCTGGCCCAGTAGAGTTGTCCCTTGTTCTCTGTGCGACTCGCTAAGGGGGGCTGCTGCATCGTCTCAATGCGTCTTTCTTAATCTCCTGTGCTTTAGATGCCATCTTGTGAGGAGGAAATGCCCCTTGCAAGCAGGGCCTTCCTTAGGCATATGCAGCATACGCAGCTGCGTAGGGCACCATGACATTTGGGGCATACACGGTAGCACCAGCCCTCGCAACCAGCCCTATCCCTCTGCCGGCCCCCCGCAGGCTGCACCCACTGCAAGGGGCAGGGCCGCCCCTAGGGGGGTGTGGGGCCCCGGACAACTCCCTCTGCTCCACCTCTTACCCTTCCTCCCCCTGCTCTGCCCCCAGCCCACCCCCATTCCAGCTCTTCCCCCAGCGACCCTGCACTCACTGGCAGGAAGCGGAGCAACCCGGCCCCGGCCCTGGCCCCAGCCCCAGCCCGCTCTACTCCACCAGCTCCCCAACGCAGCATTCCACTTCCTGCCGCCGGTGAGTGCGGGGAAGTGGGGAAAGGATGCACCCAGGCTCACCGGCAGCGGGAAGTGGAGCGACGAGGCCCCTGCCCGTTCCGCTTCCCTTGCTCCACCCATGTTGCTCGAGTTGGGGAAAGGACCGCCCCCAGCTCTCACCAGCGGCGGGAAGCAGAGCGCCGCGGCTGGGAGCTGGCAGAGTAGAGTGGGCTGGGGCTGGGCTGCTCTGCTTCCTGCCGGTGAGTGGAGGGGAATCCCTTCCCCCAAGCCTCCTCCCCCCAGCCACATGGCTGCAGTCGGGGCGAGGGAAGCGGAGCGGGCTCCTCCCAGCCCGCCACTAATCCACTGGACCACTCTGGGCCTGTGGGGCCCCCAAAAGTGGCCCCCCACAGCTCCTGCCTACCAGACCCAAATGGCTAGGGATGGCCCTGCTTGCAAGGGGCTGTTGAGGGTTCTCAGCACTTTGCCGAACTGTTCCCTGCTGTCACTGATTCACTGAATGGCCTTAGACCACTCTGATCATCTGGTCTGACCTGCGTAGCACAGGCCAGAGAACTGTCCTGACATAATCCCTTCTTCTTAGTCTGCCCCTTCCCTTTTCACCCACCATGTTGCTGCTCCTCGTTCCATAATCCCCCTTCCCTGACACCACCACCCTTTTTCTCTCCGTCTTCCTCTGACTCCTACTGTGTGAGCATAGGTGCGGGAAATAGGAGTGCAGGGGGTGCTCCACTGCTGCTCCCCTCTCCCCCCGCCTCCCCTGCGTCTGGGCTGCCAGCTCAGGAGCAGACGGGTAAGGGGGCTGGCTTTCAGCACCCCCACTATTCTAAGTGTTCCTGCACCACTGTATGTGGAGCCTCGGCAACAGCATTGCGCTGGGCACTAATTCCTTCCTTTTCCATGGCTCTTCCCCCCCCGCCCTGTGTTTTAGCTCACTGAGCTCCCCATTTCCTTCATGCTTTAGCCCACAATGTTGTTTTGCTGAAATTTGCCCTTTCCCATTGCTTTAGCTCCTCCTGCACCAGCATCCAGCAAAGATGTGCACTTTGAGTGAGCTGGCAGGATCAGACAATGTGTTCTTATGCACCCAATCCTGAGTGTGACACTGACATCAGACGAGCTGCTGGTGCTCAGTGCCTCTTGAGCTCAGTTTTATTGTATCCTTAGTTTTGGTATGTGCCCCTTTGTTGAATTATGCTCTCTGTGTATCTGTCATCCAGGGATGTGTTTGCCTAGCCTCCACCCCCATGCTCTGAACAATCATGTGTTTTTGACTCAGGTGTAAGATACATGTCCTCACTTTTGTGTGTCACTTCTGTAGGATCTGCACAAAATGGAAATGGCCTCTTCGTGCTCTTTCAGACATGCTACTACAGTCTGTGCTAACGCTGGTTTGTAAAGGACAAGGAACTGCTGTACTATGCTTTGTCTTACTTTTTCTACATTCTTTTAAAGTAAAGTCTAAGTGTCTGTGCTGGTGGCAATTCTTGTTAGGCTAATAAATGTTACTGTAGCAGGGAGTGTGGCATCCCGTGTGTTACCTGTTAGTCTCACCTGAAAGGAGTGACGTGTGTTACTGTAACCTACTTAGCGGATCGGCTGGCACTTTTTACATAGCAAATACAAATGGAAGACGCTTTATAGATTCCTTGTTTGTTCCATCACTGCACTGAATGTTACTGTGCAGAAGCCAATAAAAATCAGTGCACAGGTGTTTTGTGATGGTGAGTTGTGTAAAGCTCCTACCCATGCTCAGAAGGGGCCCCAGCCTGCTCCGCTTGCACTGCGTTCTCAGACCCCGCTGGCTCCCTGCTGCCCATCACTTGTTCCTCAGCCCGAGGGCTCCTCTCGGCCCCTAGTCTCACCCCCCAACTCCTCTCTCTTCCTCCTGGCTGGACTCCAGTGCACCTCCAGCTCCAGGCAGTCTCTGCTTCCTACCACCTGTCGGGCCCCTCAGAGCTGAGCTGCCTGGGACTGGTGCAGAAGCCTGGCCAGTCTCAGCCAGGTGTGGAGGGGGGTGACAGTGTGGGGGGTTTGCCTGGCCCCTCAGGCAAGTGCGTCGAGAGCGCCTGGTCAGGGCAGGCCCTGGCCTGGCTGATCATGCCATTCCTGAGGGGTCAGAGTGATTCCCAGCCAGCTCTGGCTGCATTGCTGGCTCAGCCTGGCAGACACAGTTGCTTCCCAGCAGGGCCAGGAGGTGGGGTGGGGGTGGCGGGGGGAATGGTGGGTGCTGGGCTGTGAGGTGGCAGGAAAGATCTGTGTTGTGTTGGGGCACTAGGGAGTGGAGATTCTGTGGGGGGTGCTGGGCAGTTGTGGTGGGGTTGTGGGCATGGTGGTGCTGGGCAAGGGTGCTGTGCATTTGTGGGGGGGCGCTGGGCATAGCAGATCTGGAGGGGCTCTGGCCATAGGGAATTCAGGGGGTGTTGCGGTGTTGGGCGGGGGAGCTGTATGGCGTGGCATGGGCCCACCCCCAAGGGGAAGGGGCATGCTGGCAGCACAGGGCCAGGCA